CGTGCGAGACGTGGGGCTGTCGAGCAGCAGGGGCGACTCCAGGCCCCCGGGAGGCTGGTGGTGGCCCGACGGGAAGCCCGAGAAGCTAAGGCTGTGATGCAGCTTGGGCCTCGGCTCCCGCGGGAAGCCCAGGTGCAGCGCGTCGCGGGCGCTGAAGGCGCGCAGGTCCCCGGAGGCGCCCCCAGACGGTGCAGGCCGCCGCTCATCGGCGTTGTGGATGAAGTGGCAGCGCGGCCCGTAGGGGCAGAAGCCGATGGTGTGGAAGGTGCGGCACAGCTCGGTCTTGTACTTCGGGTGCCGCGTCAGACTGCGCAGCTCGTGGAAGCCGTGCGCGAACTGGCATTTCTCGCCGTACTTGCACGTGCCGCTCTCCTCAAAGGGCCGGCACAGCTCAGTTTTGTAGCGCGTTGAGTTGATCTGGGAGCCGCCGCCCCCCTTCTGCTGCTGCAGGTGCAGGAGGTGCTGGCTGCGCTCGCCGTTCTCGCTGAACGAGCGGTCCCGGAATTTGTTTTCCTTGTTCAGTAAGGACGTGCCACCGCCCCCCGACGGCTCCTTAAGGGTGCCGTAGGAGGTCGGGCCGCCTGTCGCCGCGCTGCCGCAGCTGCTGCCGTTAGCCGCACCCGGGAACTTGGGCGAGCAGCTGCCGGGGCTAGGCGCGGGGTGGGCGAGCGCGTGCAGGTTGCTGGCCGAGTGCCGTCGGAGGAAGCCCGGCGTGAAGCCCGAGCTGGGGGCAGCGGCCACGGGCGTCCCCACAGCCTTCTTGTCCAGCATGTTGTTCAGATTGAGGTTGGCCAGTGATTTCTCCGTCTGCCAAAAAGGGGGGGAGCGGGGAAGGGATGAAAAATGGAAAAGGGAGGGAAGAGTTCGGGCGAGTTGCAGAGTAACAACTTCCAGGTCTCCGATTCTTTCTTCCTTTTTTCAGATTTCCACTCAGTCCCCAACCTCCACCCTTACACGCGCTCAAGAATCAAGTTCTCGCTGGGAGGAGCCCGACTCTCCCACCCTACGCCTCTCTGGGCCGCGCTGGGTTGCGACATGTGATCTTCAGCCGAGGGCCGCCGGCCTGGGCGGCGCAAGCCCAGTCCGGGAAGCCCCGGGCAGCGTGGCTGTGGTCGGCTGCGGAGAAACTAAACAGCTACAGCGACTCCCTTCTGCTCCCTTCTCCTTCTCCCCGCCCACAAGGCACGAGCACACATTGCTAACTCCGGGGTTTTTCCCTTGCCCAAAAAGTCAAGGTGGGGAGAGGACCCCGCCAAAGTCGAGGACCTAAGGCCAAATCTGAAAACTTGGGCTTCCTGCTTGCCCACTCTCCTCCCTCCCTGGTCCCCCGCGTACCTTGCACAAGAAGTCGATATCGTAGAAGGCGGACAGAAGTGTGGTCGACATGTTTCTGGATCTTGTAATGGTCAGAGCTGCAGGCTGGGAGGTCCGGAGGAGCCCTTGGGGCGGCGCGGCCGGGCTCGAGCCACGACGAATAACGGGCGAGGGGCGGGAGAGGGACCGAAAGTTCGCTGGGGGGCGAGAAAAGAGGGTAGAGGGGACAGC